ATACACCATAAAATATTAAAAATAGTTTGACTCGTTTTGAGCGGTTTACGGACATTGTGAGTTTTTAATTTTTTTAGTTTTTTTTTATAATTGTCTATAAAATTGTATTTGTTGGGTAAAACTGTGTGAAAATTTAATACAAGGCTCCTGATATACTGTTACAATAGCAGTTGAAAAATATTAAAAATATATAGTCACGATTTTTTTTATAAGCATTTATAGTTCAAATCTTGACAAAATACGGAAAAATCACGAAATTTAGCAAATTATGTTTATTTAAGAATTCATAAAAAAATGTTCTCTTTAAATTAAAGATTTGAAAATGTAATACATGATTCCTTATAAGTTTGTCTAACTTTATCAAAAAAAAATATCTACAATAAAGTCAAATTACATTTTTATGAGCTTAATAATAGTTTTATATTTTTACAATATTGGATATTCACTCGATTTCTCAAGTAGCGATTTTCTTGTTTTCTTATAATTCAAAAACGAATAACTATAAATAAATGCAAATTTTACTGAATGTTTATATTTTCGTTTTCTATACACCATAAAATATTAAAAATAGTTTGACTCGTTTTGAGCTGTTTACTGACAATTTCAAATTTCAATGTTTAGAAGTTTTTTTCTATAAATATCTATACAATTTTATTTGTTATGGAAAAAGCTTGAAAAATTAATACAAGGCTCCTGATATAATATTATTACAATATCAGATAAAAAATATTATAAATACATAGGCACTTCTTTTTTATAATCATTTAAAGTTAAAAAGTTGACGAAATTTATCTAATTTAATATTAAAAAGTTTATAAAATGTTCAACTTTTATAGCTAAGGATTGAACATTTAAAACAAGGTTACCACGTAAGTAGGTTATTCTATAACTAAAAAACTAAAAAATATAAAAACGCAGTTTTTTTATAGCTATTTTATGATGAAATTTGGAAGAACTTATACATATTAAATAACTAAGAATAACGATTTTAGTTATTTTATTGTAACTTTATTATATTAATACATTTTACCGGCTACTTCAGTATCGTTTTTCGTATACAATAATAATATATCATTGAATTGAAATTTAATAAAATGCATTCATTATACAGTGATCCACTGGCTACTATTGTAACCTACTGTACAGCAACGCCACAGCCACTTACTGTGGGTTTTTTTTGTTTGCATGTACCTATAGTTAGTTCAATATGCTTATTTTTCAGTCTTTTGAAGTTATTTTTTTGTATTTCGTTCTTTGACTTCTCGAGGTAATATAAGTATCATATATTCATATTGCTTGATTTTTAAAATGTTGATAAAATTAAATATGGTATTGAGTGTGGTCAATTGAATGAATTGTTTAATTTTTATCAAATGATTCACTAGTATTGGTTGTGCACATCGTTTAGTATCCTAATTTAGCCCATATTGGCCATATTTCAATATTTGTGGTGGAAACTCAGAGTCGTTATTGTTAAATAAGTTTCAACATTTTAAATAGTATATGTAGTCAGTAAATTATCTTAACCTATCATTTTGTGGTTCCAATGCCATTATATCGTAGGTACGCAAAACAATCTTCAACCATTTCAAAACTTAAAAAAGGAAGTTCAAAAAATAATTTTAAATTATTACTTATATCAGTACTGTAGGGGTTTTTGTAAACATTAGATAGGTAGGTACCTAAGCTACTTAAGCTCAGGCTGCAAAGCTAATGAATTTTCCTCTACCAATTTTGACCAAGGTGAAATGTACACCCTTTCACTTCAATATGGAAGAATTATTTAGAATATAGAATGTCATTACTAGGGAAAGGATTTTAATTTAAATAAATATTTTTATGTAATAATAGCATCGGAAAGTTTTCGATATATGTATACGTTTCATTTAATTTCAAGTAATCTGATGCTAATTTTATTTTAAATATTTTTAAATATTTTAGAATAATTAAATATTTTTAAATATTTTAGAATAATTACATTTTTTTACAAATAAATACATAAATTATGTAATATTGTAGAATTTCAGTGTATATTTTAATTATTTTACAAATAAATATACGTATTCTGTATTATTGAAGAATTTCCATTTTTATTTTAGTATTTTGCGATACGATTAGGTCTCTGTACTGTACACTTTTGACATCAAACGACAACGATTCGATATCTTATCTAGTTATCTAAGTAGTAGGTAAGCCGGTAAGCGTTCGCTTTTCGATCAGTATTCGTATGAGCGTTATTCGATCACGTTATTTTCGTATGTGTCTGTGTGTATAGTTTGTATAATATAATATTTTATAATTAGATAAATGTAACCCCAAAACTATATGTCAATTATTTAATAATGCAATGGGTGTTTTGTGGCCGAATGGTATTAAACACAATAATGTACTTTTACTTTTAACGGACGCCGCGCCGTATATGTGTAAGGCGGGAAAAGTGTTGGACACATTTTATCCAAGAATAATACATTTAACTTGTCTAGTACATGGTTTTCATCGTAAAGCTGAAACATTTAGATTTCAATTTTCAGAAGTTGATTCGTTAATTTCCAACGTAAAAAAAATATTTTTAAAAGCGCCAAGTTGTATACAAACATTTAAAGATATGTACCCGGATTTAACTCTACCTCTCGAGCCTATTATAACTCGATGGTGTACGTGGTTATCAGCTGTATTATATTATTCAAATAACTTTGAAAAGATTAGAAACGTTGTCTTAAATTTAGATCCCTAAGCTGAAATAGCAATAAAAAAAACTGTTGAGCTCATAGACAGTAAAAATTTACAAAACAATTTAGCATTTATTTCGACTAATTTGGATTTTGTTTTTTTTATATTTTTAATTAATTATTTAATAATTCTATGTTATTTTCAATTTAAATATTTAAATATTATACATTTATAAATAAATATTTATTAAGTAATAAACAAATATATATTTAAATATTTTTAATTTTATACTAAATTAAAATCCGTTCCCTAGTCATTACTAGACTTTAAATTGTACACCCGATCGGAAATCGGAATATCCCAGGCCGTAATTCGCATTTTTTTTTTAAAAGTAGGTACCTACCTACTCGTCACTCGGGCCGCATTTTACATTTACGCAATTTACCGACTCCGACTATCGACGTTTATGATTAGGAACTAAGGCTAGGATTTCAATGGCCTAAAAAAATGCAAAAATGCATTTTCGTACAATTAATCTCCATTGTACAATGGTGAATTATTTTCAAACACCTAATAAAAACTTTAAACACTGTAAAATAGAAATATTATTATCGACTTTTTAATAATAATTTGTAGATATGAAATCGGTGGTCGACGAGAATTGCATAATATAAAACACGTACGACACTATTTGACCATTATCTGGTACCTACCTTTAATACCTGTACAATAAATATGTAAAATATGCAACATAAAAATATCAATAAAATAGTCAGGATCACCTAAAACACACTTTTTCCATTTACAGAGCTAAGCTTTCAAACATCATTAAAAAATGGCAATTTATAAAAATCCCAGTTCTAATAATACATCGGTTCTATATAAAATATAAACATAAACTACCTACCTATGTATTTAATAATGTTTACTCTTTACATATTACATAATATAGATCGTGAATAAAACAGTCTAAACAATTGAATTAGGTAGGTACCGGGTTTCTATGGGTTATTATACAGTACCTATATAATATTATTAAGTAAAAAAATGTATTGTATAAATTATAATAACTGTTATTAACACTATACATGTATAGTCATGTATGTTCATATTTTATGAATAGACGAAAGTATATAGGTAGTTTTATTTTTAATAGCTTCCAGTTTTTTTACTATCTATATACGATAGTTCAACAATACATTTCACACGTTCAGTCATACAAAACAAATATCCAATAAAGTTATTGTTTTAATGATCAAACAAGTTTGAGCAATGCTAATTGTTTAGGTAATAGTTGTTTTTAATCTTTACACACCTACTACATTATTTAAAAATCGTAGGTAGGTAATATATTATTATAATGATAAATCTTAGTTAATTTAACATTTTTGCGATCCTACTATCTACGCGTCGATTGAACGCGATTGTTTTTGTCAATACCTAAGCTGTTAACTTAGTAACTAATTTATAAGTTGCCTACCAAAAATTAATTTAAAAAGTCGACAGTAGACCGGCGTATTTCGCTGTTTGTCGGCTGCCCATGGTAACGCCCGTTTCAGACGCGTTTGGGAACCCTGCATTTTGTTATCAGATAGTAGAACATGCGTATAATAACAAGATGTTGATGTAGCAATGTACCTACATCACCTAGGTAAGTTGAAAATAGAAATAAAAACACAAAATTTAATAACACAACACAGACACAATGCAATTAATTATTACCACCTACTACCTATTTGATGTATTATATTATTTTATCGTACGAAGTATTCAGTAGTCGGTGTAGTAGCAGTAGTAACATTGGTAACCAGTGTGTAATAATTAATTTACTAATGTCGGGTCGATTACTGTGTACCTACCAAAAATATTATTTTTCGAGCTACCGGTTGAAATGTGTCGACATAAATTGTTATTGCTCGTAAACAAAAGCAATACAAACTGAAATAGTATGCAAAGTAGAGAAGCATGCATAATAAAGGTAGGTAGTTGTAATGCCCATAAATTGACTATCCATCTGCTTGTTTTTAATCTTTATTAAATTTTTTTTATTTATCAATTTATTTGTTTTTTTTTTTTGATCTTTTAGAATACAAATTATAGAATCCGGAAGGCACACCTACATTAATAAGAGTAAGTAGGCGAACATATGACCGACCCAGAAAGTTGTATATTATTGGTGTAGGTGTTTAATCATAATTTATTATGTGTGGGTTTTCGTTAAATTAGCAGTGTAGGATGGATGGCGGAACACCAAACATCTTCATCATCAGTACTATAGCTACATATTAGTAGGTACCACTCAGTTTAACAGAAAAATAACCGACTAGAAAATGTCAGCTGAATTCAACAATCTGATGGTTAGTGATAACGCTAATAGATTGGAAGTAGCTGAACTATCAGAATTTATTGAAAGTAAGTTTAAATTTATCTTTGCTAAAATATTTTAATCTGACCGATTTTTTATTTACAGATCGGCTATATTTCATGGTATTATCTAATCATAAGGGTCCCACAACGCTTCAGAATTTTAAGGATTGGAAAAATTCATTGAAGGATAATGATGTATTTTATTTAAATGTTGATGACTATTTGGTGTATGATGGTTTTTATAGCGACTTTGGCCCTTTAAATTTAGCAATGATATATCGCTATATTGGTATAGTACGCGACAAATTTAAAGTGAGTAATTCTTTTTTTGATGAAAAATAAAATATACTCAAAAATCTATGATATGTATATTTTTATTTTATAATCAATATTATTGGTAATCATGTACTAACTAGTTTCAAAAAAAAGTTATAAGATTATAATAAGTTATAATAATTTTTAAGTTCTTTCAATTTTTACTATTTTGTGTTAATTCAAAATTTCAAAACTTACATAAAAATATATACCTATACCGCTATACAATAATGTGTGGATGAACATTTACTTGTCGTAAAATTATTTCTAGGATTTTTTTCTTCATTTTCAAAACAGTTTATAAGTGTTAAATAGTTAAATTGTTATTTTATAATATAAAACTGAATATTTATACTTTAATACTTTGAAAATTGTAGACAAATAAACTGACACTTAATGTTAGTTGCTTAAAAATTATATTCCATTAATATTGGACTAAAAATACATAACTGACATCACAGGGTGATTTGTTCAACAGTAAACACTCATTATCTCATAAAGCATTATAATATTGAAAATATTTGCTTGCATCATATTCTATGATAACATTGATTTCCATCCTATAACAATATTTTCCATATTTCTCATTGTTTTAATTTTCAAAATGTTTAAGTTTTTGAATAACCGTAATTAGGTACTTAAACATTTTTAATTTATCAAAATATTTGCCTGAGGATTTTAATGCAAAAAATATGAGTATCAAACAGTAGCGGCTCGTGAGTAAATATTTTGAGGAGACTTCAATTAGCTTTTAAAATTATTACTGTGATCTGTTTTTATGTTTGACATATAGTTGTCTTTAATTTCTGTTGTTTGAGAGATATGTACATGCAAAGATTATATAATCGTTTACACACTGTCATAAATAAGGACTGACCGAAATTATAAACTACAAATTAATATAAATTTTGTTACATAAATAGTTTTAATATTAAATACATGAGAGTCGTTTGGAATTTTATTTTTATACCCCGACTAACTAAATTAAATAAATTACTTTTACCAAAAAATTTAGTTTCAACTTTTACATTACTATAACGATTAGTTAAAACGTATTGTCTTTTTGACTTTATTTATTATTGAGATATGTCGATATACGTAGCATTACATTTTTGGTGTGTTTATTTTTTCCCAGGCAGTTGGGTAATACAGCTAGTTTATTTATATTCGAGTGCATAATTGTTGACCATTTTATTTGAGTTTTATTAAAGATGTAAAACATATAATTACATTATAAAAAATTAAATATTGTTTCAGTCATTTCAATCTTCACTTGTGATAATTTGTAATTTAAATGATTCTAAAAATACAATAGTACTCATCATGTTTAAATAATGCTAAATGTTTTAAATCTTATAATCATCATTCATAAAATATGTAAATACCACAAATCAATTTAAATTAAGAACTTAATTATATCGACAATGGTTCTTATCAATCTTAACAATATTTTATAAAAATTAAACCTATCTTTATTAATTAAGTGTTATCTAATATATATACTTGATACATACTAGGTATTATAAATTTATATTTACTAAATTAATTAAGCACTTCAATTCTGTGTTTATAAATTTAAAAAATGTAATCAATTTAAGTTATTATTTTTTTTTTAAATTCTGATTTCATTATTTCATTTTAATAACCATTATTAATTAATATATTTTAGAACTGAAAGGACTACTTTCTTGTCAGTTATTATTATACAATTAGTTTACAAAATAAATTATATTTTTACCATTTACTTACTTTACATGTGAAGTATATTATTAATGTCATTAATGATATATTAAAAATAAATTTAACCTATTTTTTGTAACAATGTGTTTCAGTTTAATTAGTTCATGATTTTAAAAATAATGAAATAACTATTACAAAATACACAGCCATAACTTTAAAATATTTTGTTTTTATTTATTATACTGAAATTAATATACTATAATTGATATATTTTTGACTATATAAAAATAAATAAAAAATATTATGGTCTTTAATTTTTCTTTTAAATTGTGTTGGTGTAGACATTTTTAAAGCTACCTATGATTCATAATTAATTTGTACTTGCTGTATTATTCATATTGCAATTTACTTTTGTCTAATTATTTTTTAAATTATATTTTAGGTATATAAGAGAGTGATTCACTGTGCTCATATTGGTGATCTAAAGAAAAGGTCAAATGCAGCTTTTCTTATTTGTGCATATTTGGTCAGTTTACGTATATAAACTTACTAACAAATTATAGATTTTTTACATTCATATTAATGTCATAGATAATTGAAAATAATTGGACAGCACACCAAACATATAATATATTATCAAAAGAATATAAACATAAATATATACCATTTAGGTAAATATAAGGTTAAAAAAAACTTGAATGTTGTATAATTTATTAATTTGTTAATACTATTAGAGACGCATCATGTTTGTTGCAATCAGAATATTCAGTGTCAGTTGAAGAATGTGTTAATGCCTTATACAAAGCTAAATGGTATGGATTTTTTGATATGAGTGACTTTGATTTGGAGGAATATGAAAAATATGAGGTTAGTAGAAATTTAAAATTATTATTTATTTAGAACTGTAAAATGTTTGTTTCTTTAGACCGTGAAGTATGGTGATATTAATTGGATTGTACCTGCTACCTTATTGGCATTTTCATCACCACATTCTCGAGATTATATTGACAAATGTAATTACACATAATATTATAGTTTTTACTTATTTAAATTATCTGTTAATAATTATAAATTATTGTTTAATATTTATATTAATAGCTGGCTATCAGATACATTCTCCAGCTTACTATTACCCCTATTTCAAAGAAAACAATGTCAAGCATGTAGTTAGATTAAACAGTAAAAAGACTTATGATGCTAAACGTACCTTTGTAACAGTAGCTAATATTCAACACACGGATTTAATTTTTACCGATGGTACACCACCTTCAGATGCTATTCTCAAATGTTTTTTGCGCCTCTGTGAGCAGTATATTGATGATAATTTTGAAGTTGAACATACAAATAATGAAAAAAGTGAACTAAATGAAATCACTCCAAATATAATTATAAATAGTGAAGCTAATGTGGCTAAATATGCAGGTGCTGTGGCTGTACACTGTAAAGGTAAAATAAACCATGACCTAATACTTACTCTCTTAGATATTCGTTAACTATAATCTTTAGCTGGATTGGGAAGAACTGGTTGTTTAGTGGCTTCATATATTGTGAAGCATTGGTCATTTACGGCAGTAGAAGCTATAGCATGGACTCGTATATGTCGACCAGGTTCAGTAATTGGTGTGCAGCAACAATGGCTTATCAAGTAAGAATCTAGTAATCTACGTTCAAAATAATAGTACCTATAAGTTGAAAAATAAACATTTAGTTTGTTAAACTTTCACCTATATCATTAGTGTTTTAATTTAAATTTAATATTTATTACACAGTAAAGAAGATTATCTAACAACTCTTGGTAAACAATGGCGAGAAAACCAAAAAAATGCTTGTAATAAATTTAAACGGTTCACAAATGGGGTGTACAGTGTTAAACGGCATACCTCCAATGCTAATAATGCATATGAGTTTGTAGATCCACCACCTCATTTATACATTAGTAATGAGGAACAATACACCAGCAGTTGTAGTGGAGATAGTGAAATAGAATATGAAGAATCTGAAGAGGTAATCTATTGAGTTCGTTTGTGTAAAATAATTTTTAATTATATTTAATTACTTACAGTACAACCAGAACAGACTGTCATCTGTCTTAAAAAATAAATTGAAGACAAACAATCATGCCCTTCCTAATATCCAAAGTGATATCTATGTACCAAACTTAAGACAAAAGAGATCAGCCTCAAAAACAGAGGACCCTAAGCCTAAGAGTACATTTTCAGCATTAAAAAATATTCGTCGAGTTACAAATGCATCTATTGGAATAAGTATGAATAATCTGGTGAAAAAAAATAATACTGATCCAACTACAATTACTATCACAAGAAGTAATTTAAAGGCATCTATAATCGGAAAAAAAAATACAAAACCAATAACTGTATGTAAAGCTAGCACCAAAACAACAAATACATCAGAAACTGCTACAACGTAATTAGTCGTTTTATAATTGGTTATAAAAATAATGTATATTGTGTTTCAAAAGTGGAATTAATTCGTAAATTTGGGTTGATAAATTAATATTTTATTGTTTTGTTTCTGAGCATAAAAGTATGAAAATTGTGGTACAATACTTTTTAAAAAATCAATTTTTAAAATAATTTAATTATATTGCAACAATTATTTTCGAATGAAAAAAAAAAATTTACTCTTTTGAATGATACTCTGGGGCAAAATATTATTCGAAGTATTTCTATCTATACAAATTAAATTTCGGACAAGTAGTTAATTAATCATAAGTCATTAAACTTGTTTGATAAGTTTTGATAAGTGGAGTAGTAGCCCAACATTATGCAGGATACCTCTTTACCACTCCACTCCACTCGTCAAAATATTTTATACTCTTAACTCATAATATACTCATCCAAATACAATATATATCAAATAAAATAATTATTATGATAAAAAAGAAGAAAAAAATATTTTCAAATATGTTAATAACTCTTGAAATATTAAGTGCCTCGTGTTAAATGGATAGGGTACAGTTGTAAATGTTGTGGTATTACATTTTAAAGCAATGCACACATTTAATTTACTATGTAGGTACAGTAAAACCTCTCTATAACGGACCCTCTATTAGACGGAATCCTCCTTATAAAGGAAAATGTCAATAATTTTCTATTAATCTTTCAATAGTTTTTCTACCTCCCTATAAAGAAAAACTCTTTATAACGGAAAAAAATTGAGTCCCAAGCGGTTCCGTTATAGGGAGGTTTTACTGTATATTATTTGTAAAAATTGAAAATATTGATAATTTTATTATAATTTAATATTTAATAATGCTTTATTAATTTAATGTCATTATTCAATTTTGGAACACACTATATTATATAGGTGAATTTCATTATAAACATTTAATATTTATTTATTTATTTACATAGAATAACGGACGAAACAAAACCATCTTATGCATTAGCTACTGTGGCATCATCTGCTCGTGTGTCAAGGCGTCTTCGTAATCAAAACTCCATTACAAAATAAAATAGCTAATACATTCATAACACTGAGTGCATACAATTAATGAAGAATGATTATTCCTTTATGGATAGAAGCATCACATACATTAGAGATTTAGTTATTTAGAACAACTAAAATGATCAGTTAGATTTTTAATGGTATTAGTCTTGAATGTGTTGAAAAGATTCATCTTGAATTCGATATTAATTAGCAGTGGTTGGCGCTTATTCAAATCAGGCATAAATGTATTGTTATATTTTGCATAGTATTATTTTATTGCTGGAAACTGGACGCGTCTACAATAACAGACTGGAATTTTGTTTGTATTTTTTTATTGAGTGATAGGAATTCGTCAATTCGTGGAAAAAACCAAGAGATGACATAATTAAAAAAAAATGTTTATATGTTTATTTTTGTACAGTGATTAATAAAAGCACCTGCAAATGCATCATTTCAAGGGGCAATACACATCTAATTTTCATTTTTTATGTGGGCATAGCTTGTATTTTAGCAAGTAGTAAATGATAATTAGTAAGTTTGTGTGGTGTTTGTTTGGGTAAAATTCATAAAATCACAAATCATTTGGGTGAATAAACAAATATCATGAAGGCTAGATTAATATTGATACCTACATAATATGTTAAATACATTGTATAGGCGAGTTTATATGCATTATTTGTTGAATCTTATATGCTTCTTAAGTAGCAGTCTTATTTCTTTATTTTTATTGGCACAGTTACATAAGTAAAGATATCATATGGTATCAAATTATTAAAAATATATTGCAGAAAATTGAGTTATTGTAATAAGTTAACGTACAATCACAGATGTTTTTAAGTTTAAGTTTGACAATACTGTACAATTTTTGGTCAGTTTGCTTTAATATAAAAGCTAACAATACTAAATTGGTTCTGCTGAATTAAAATTTGCTATGATGTAAGTCTATATAAGAGCAAGGAAAGTGAAAACAAATAGTGTGCTGATTAAGAGGACTTAAATAAGAATTTAACTGAACTTTTCGTTTATTTCTTGCCCAATTGATGTATGTTTACTCATGTAAATTTGGGGTCATTTATCTTAACAATTATGTTCATATGTGTACCCTACCTAAAGATTACACACATCATACAAAATATGCCTTCACATTTTAATGTCCATGTAATTTAAACATATTATAATATAATATATTATATTATATTTATGTTCTAAATAAATGTATTAAATCCTGACAAACAACATACTAGGTTATTCTTCTGCTTGGATTTTAAAATGAATTACATTTAAATTTATGAATAAACTATTTTTGTATCAGTTAAGCACCAATCATTACATTTTTAAAATCGAACCCTAGGATGTACAAGTACCTATGTTTATCAGGTGTTGAATGATTTTTATGAAAAATTGATAGGGTTTGCAGGGGCCTCAATAAGAATCTGTGCCTGAAATTAATGTTTGGTGATAAATTATGATATTCTTTAATGTTAGAATTATAGGACAATTTATATCATGTCAATTTATCAATATATAATTTGTTAGAATACACTTTTTACTTATACAATATGATTCAGAGCTTAACCAAACAAGTTTATATAACTTAAGTAGGTACACCTAAACTACAAGATTTCTTTGTGGTCAAATAGTGTTTTGATATTAATTTTCGCTCAAGTGCCATTAATCAAATATTTACTTTGAATTTAATATTTAATTAGTTTTTTTTCCTAGTGTATTATGAGCTAATTATTTTTTTTGATTTTAGATTGTCAGTGAAATGTGTAGTTTTGTAATACACTTTAGGTAATATGAACAACCGCTCAAAATCAATTTTTCACGCAATTAAAATGTAGCCTTGAAATAAAAATAATAATAATCATTTGCATAGATGTAGCGGTACAGTGTCTGCTTATATTTCATTTGATATTTTGATTACCAATTAATTACATATATTTGTAAATCATTGCTAAAAACTCCAGAAAATTTGTTTTTAACTTTCTTCAAATTTATTAAACCGTTTATGTTATCCTAGTATTTAACCAACCGAACACATTACATACTATTAAGTGATTGTCACAGTAGATATTTAATAATAATACAATTTTTAAACTGTATGTTGTTGTTTAAATTATTTTATACTTAAGATTTAATTTGTAGACCTTATATTATATATTACTATTAACTAAGTGAATATTATATTATACAATTTATGTAGGCGATCCCAGTACCCACAGGAATGTAAGATATGTACTTGACTTAGTTTAAAACTATGGTTGGTTGGTTATAAATTAATTTTGTTTTAATAGTATACTTAATGGTACATTGATACACATTTATTATTTATATAAAAATCTTAATAGCATGATTGTTGAGATGTATACAAATTATATTATGACTGTAACTTATTACCTAGTTGATCAGATGTTAAAGTAAATTTAAATTGTGTTTGTTTCTGTTATATTATAATTTAGTGTATTTGGTTAAATAATATTGTTTGATAAAATCAAGATAAAGTTGATATGTAAACATTGTATCATATAAAATCTTAATAGTTGTGGGATAATGTCATAATTAAAGTTAGTTAGGATGTGAATGAATTTTGTCTATTCATTTCACATAGGTCATAGGAATGTAATAAATTATTGTTTTTTTTTAATTTTATGTATATGAGCAATAATGTAGTGTGTTTACATATTTTTATGTAATCACTATCTAAAATACATCTTAGGAATGAAAATTTTTTTGACTCTAAACATACTAAATTACTAACATACTAATATTATGTTGAAGTTATTGGTGAATAATAGATTACAATAAGTTTTACAATGACGTGTTTTTTTTTTTGTGATGACAAATTATTTATTTTTGAAAAATAAAAAAATATAAATTTGAATTAAGGGATATTAGTGGTGATATTTTTAGAGGGGGACATTTTGAAAGAGGGATATTTTGAGGGTGTACCATGACAGTTTTAGAATCAGTTAATTTGATTAAATCTTAAACTTTGTGAGTGATAGGTACATAGTAGCAAATTTGGTAGCAGATCTTAGTGATCTTGCTGTATTAAAAAAATATATTACCTGATTGTAACTACTAGTAATATATTTTCAATCACAATAACATTTTCAAAATTATTATTTCAATTTTAGCTCTTTATTTATTTTAAGTAGGTAACTGCTTAAACAATTTCATTTTTTTAGATTTTATACTCTGTCCAGCGATGCCGCGCATCCCCGCACGTACCCACCCTAGTGTAGTAGTGTACGCATCACGGCTGCCCACCGACGGTGACGCTGAACTGCAGGCTGAAGTGGCAACGATTAGAAAGATTCCTGTTGATGCATTTAAGGTTTAAATATCTGTTAGCAGCTGATTAAGCTTAATCATAGTTTAAATAGTTTAATCCACGGACTAAGATATACAGGAGACGGGAAAGACTGGAAACGACGACGTTATCGATGGAACCAATGTACAACGCTAGTTGGTGCAACGTCGATCTTAACGCCATCTAGGTGCGTAAGTGCATTACATAATAATACTGTAATGGTTATAAATTATAATATATTTAATTGTTAAATTATTAAATTGTAATTATTATTTACTGTACCTACTACCTATAAAAAAAAAAAAAATGTATTGCAATATTGAGTTAAGAATTAAGATCTAAAATTTACTTGTACAGTTGAATTATCTATATAAGATATAAGGTATCTTAATTGACAAACAATTTATGAGATTGAGAGCAAATTTCAATACAACTTTCATCTTACAAGCAGCACAGAATAGATAGAGTATTACAGTTAAGAATTAACTCTGTTAAACTCTGTTTACTTAACTTAGTTAGAATTATTTTTACATAATATTTGTATTTTAGTGTTTTACTTTATTGATGTAATAAGTAATCACTAGAGCAAGGTCTTTCATGCACTAAAAAATCATCAAATATGCATTTAAAAATATGCACTTATGCATCAACAAATTTAAAATATGCCCCCAAAAAATTAAAACACTAAAACTTATAGCTCTTCAAATTATATTTTTTCTTTAAATATTTAGTTTAAAAAGGTTTTAAATAGATTTATTTTAATTATTTACGTGCTGTTAGATTGGATAAGACGCGCCGCACCGATTTCCTTTTGGCAAAAACTTTGCCACTGAACACGAATCAGACTGTACCACGCTATACCGCTCCATAGTCCATACTACACGCGACGCGCAACGCGCAGTGTGATCCCGACTTATAATTGTAATCTATCGTCTTTATGACAAATTATATAGAAACAGTTAAATACAATAATTTTTGTCCTTGATTCATTAAAATATTCACCGAAGCACATGATATTCGAAAAATCTTCAAAATATGCACTAAAAACTTTTAGCTTTTGTTCACAAATGTTGTGAAATGTATTGTGTACTTACTCTGCATACGTTAAAGTTAACCAGACAAAATATGCGAATGCATGAAAGTCCTTGCTCTAGTAATAACTATCATTGTATAAGAAAAATGATTCTGAGTGGAGACAGTTTGTCAGTCTGGATATTTTATATTGTTAGATATTAATTGTTATATCATGTAAGTTGAATTAATATTATAATTTTTTATTCGTTTCTATGGTGATAAGCAAAGCGTTAGAAATTAAAATACCATTTTTAGCGGTTTTTCGTAATTTTTCGGTGGTTTTTCCCGTGACATTAAATAACTATTGATAAAATCGAAAAATGACCTCTTTAAAGTACCATCTTGATCCAATTTGCTAAAAGATAATGTACTATATGTTGAAATCGAAGCACTTCTTCTGGTAGAAATTTTATATACAGGATATAAAAAAAAAAATAAACGCCATTGTAAAACCACTAGCTTCCTCGCTCAGCTCAGAATCTAATACTTCCTTTGCTTTAATAGTATATAAGTATGAAAACTATTTGAGTAGTGTGAGTAATATTTTAAATACTTTTAAAAATTATCTTTACAACAATGCAAATTGCTAAGTAACATACTGACTACAATTAATAGAAACTTGATAGTTGATTGT